GCACAACCTCAACCACACAACTACGGGGGGATGAGTTGGGTGTCCTCAGTTCAACCGCTAAGATACCTAGGGATCAGACTGGCGGATACAGGCCCTCATCACTCGATGGCACCAGAGCAGATGGCAAAAATGCTAACCGCTTGGTTGGAGATCCACATGTCCCTGTTCGGTTGAGCACTCATTCTTAATACCTTGGTCCTTTCTATGCTATGGTACGTGGGAACAATCTGGACACCTCCAACACAGTCAGTGAAGAAGCGCAGGAGGGCTGCCGCAGCCTACTTGAGGACAGCAAACCCCACCAAACCCAATTTTATATCCAAGGTAGCATGGAGGCAAGTTATACGGTCCAAGGATCAGGGAGGGCTGGGCATCCTGGACCCCGAACAGCAACTGAAAGCGCTCCAAACCAAATGGGTCCTCAAAACTCTTATCCCATCCTCAGATCTCATGGGTCCCCTTGGTACTAGAGCACATGAGCTGGCCAAGTACAAAACTCCACCCAATATGGAGGGTACCTTCTGGCTATTCTGCAACAGCTGGGCTAAGAAAGGAGGAACACGTGCCGATGGGGGAGCGACAGGGGAAGGCCAAAAGGGGGGCTCCTAATGGGCCCAAATTCTCAAAATATGGGGCAAGGCCTTTCCAGCAAGAGTGGGACAGCCTACTACAAGGCAGCAGGTCCTCAGACAACCCCTATTCTGTAATCCTTGGATGAAGGATTTACAAGGAAATCCAGAACACTAACTGCGAAGGACGCCAGGTGGGGAACCTGGCTCGAGCACGGTTTCTGGGAGGTGAAACACCTTTGGTCGTAAGATAACCACAGATGGAAAACAGGCAGGGAACTGAGAGAAGAAATGAAGGGAAGTCACAGACTACTCGGAAACCTTAATGATATCCTCATCTCCATCCCGGACGAGTGGAAATGCATGTTGAGAAGTCTGCAACAATGGAGAAACGGCGACTGGCCAACCTGGAGTTTCAGCGACAAACCCTCCCAAGCCTTTCGTATCGCGCAGCCGGTGGGACCAACCAAAGAATGGCGGAGTGCAGACATGTACGCAATCTCAGTTCCCGGTGCCACCGTCAGTCAATTGGACAAGGAATCACACACCCCGATCACCATCAAATCGGATAAGCTGCGGAAGGTGAGAGTAATAGAGACTGAAGATTTCACGATCTTCGCCCCGACAACCAAGATTCAGAACCTAGAAATAGACCCAGCAGAATGGGCCTGGAACATCAGCGAGGGAACACTACAAGTCGCCAGGAGAATTAACATCCTACATTATACCACCAAGCTGGGCTACCGTCTCAGGGAGCGCTCACTCCCGCTCGCCCATCCGTTGTCGCTGAGATGTGAGAAGAGGGTTGACATACCAAGAGAACAAGTCAAGCAATTGCCTTGGCCACGGCTACACACCATCAGGTTATGTAATATCAAGAGTATGCAGCGGCTCATCCTTCACGTGACACTCCCAGTGAACACGTGGTTGTATGACCGTAGTAGTAGACACCACAGAGACGTAGCGGACCAAGCCTGCTCCCAGTGCACGGGCGGCACACTCGAAACTCTGTCGCACTGCCTCCTACAACGCCCCGAAGCGTAATACCTATGGACCGAGGCTTGAATGCTGTGGCTGTGCATTATGTCGGCCTCCTTCCCACAAGACAGGAGGACACTTCTGACAGGAGGCGACGTGCCAAAGTCTTGGCAGCCCCACAAAAAGCACATCTTCCAGCCGTTGAGACAGTACACGTTATGGACTCTCTGGAAACGGAGATGCCAACAAGCAATCGGGCAGACGCCAATGTTTAGAGCAGAAGCTAAGGCGACGCTCTACAACCTCATGGAAACGGATATCAGAGCCCAATGGCAGAAGGCCAAAAGACAGGCATCGCTAAGTCCAGAACGGGCCAAGGACCTAACTGAAAAATTCCCAAAAAAGACGTTGGCCCAGGGCAAAGTAGCCACTATCGAAGGAGCTCGGCTGGACTTCCATTGGTTTCGGGAGGGGCAGCAGGAGCTCCCCATGGGAGACCCATCAAGGACCCCCTGTCTCAGTCTTCCATAGAACCGGGTTTGGACGCTCCTACAACAAGTAGAGGACCTACAAGGGAAAACCCAACACTTCCTGTTTCCCGGAGAAACCTCAGATTTTAAGGAGGGGTACTATCTAGGAAACAGGGGGGGGCGTCCTTCGGGACATCCGTTAAAATTGGAACGATACAGAGAAGATTAGCATGGCCCCTGCGCAAGGATGACACCCATAAATCGAGAAATGGTCCAAATTTCTTATGTAAAAAAAAAGGAAACAGGGGGGGGGCAGGGTTCTGGGAAAGAAAGGAGGACGATGCAGAGGCAGGAAGCGGGGCAGGTCCTCCTAAGCCTATTGGAAACTGACGTCCAGGCACAGTGGAAAAGAGCTCAGAGGGAGATGAGACAGCAACCCGACCAAGAACAGGAGTTGAAAGACAGGTTTGAGCGCAGAATTCTGGTGAATTGAGAAGCGGCAACTACCCAGGCCTCAGGCCTCGTATTCCAGTGGAGACAGAGCGGATGAAGCGGCGTCGGTAAAGGGAAAGAAAAGCAACAGCAGTAGGGTTTAGGGTTTAAGGAGACAGGAACCAAGGAATTATAGCATCAATAGGCGTATGGTTTAGGATAGGGAGAGGGGAGGGATAGGGTAGACAGGGAAACAAAGGGTTAAGGGGACAGGAATAGTCTGGTTTTACCTTTGGGGTTCAGTACCTTGGCTGTTCCTTTATTTCTGTTTGCCAGTTCTTAGTCCAGTTTCCCTTTTGTTGAAATTGCAGATAAGGGGACGCTGGACCCGGATTCCAGCTCGAGCCAAATATGGGTAATGGCCCCAGCTCTGTCTGGGTTGAGATGTTGAGGAATTCCCGGCCTCATGGATTTTTAATATTTTTATATAATAATAAAGCTGCAACTGTTTTTGAAAAAAGAAAAGAAAAAAAAGGGGAAAATCTGTGTGATGCACCCTCAAAGTCGGTGAATAAAATCTCGATGCCAGTATTCTTTTTTGCCATCAATCCATATCTTTGGCGCATGCTGTGACAAAGTACACTCCCAAACCTCTTGGGTTTGGTGCTCCATCGTCTAGAAAAAGTGGTGGCTCAGCGGATGTCCCGAAGGATTGACGCTATATTCCGTGCAAACGTAAGCACTCCTGAAACCAGAACACATCCGGGTTAAACCACCAGTACACCGGGGACTGGCGGCACCGCAGTGCACGCCAAGCTTTTTTTGCCGCATCGCCAGCGGCACACTTTTTTCTTTTTTGGATGTAGCTGCCAGCCCTTGTGGTTCAGTAGCACCAAGCCTCCCAAATTTTTGGAGTAGGCGATGAAGAAATCTTGCAAGGCTGGGGCCACGTAGTGGCGGTTTAATACAAACCAAAAATGGCAACACTCCGCTCTGAGTCTAAACTGTGTCACGTCTACCCTGCAACGATGACACCATGGAGAAAAAATAAAAAAAGAACTGCCATTAGGAGCCATCGGGCATTGCAACAGTATCGCGTACCTTGTCGACTACACTGGTAGCCAGCCACACTGCTGCTCCCGACAGAGGTTTTAAAATCCCACCCAACCCAAAAGTCTGCCCGCTGGAAGCGGTCCCGCGCTGAGGGAACTTGACCAACTGAACCCGGTCCGTGAAGCCTCCTGCCAGACTTCCTCCCTGGGCCCTGTCCCCGACACCTCCCAACCCTTTTTGGAAAAAAAAGGGGGAATTCCAAATAAGCCTATTATAGGTGAATAATAATTCTTCTGCAGCCTTTAATGTTCCTATTTGGGGACTTAGCTCCGACCTCTCCACCAAGATGCCCAACCTGTGGAGACTGTGATCCCCCAGCCTGTCACGTTGGCGCACAGGTTTGCCACAAGTCTGACACGAGTTTTGGCACAGGGGTGGCACAGGTTTGGCACAGGTTTTGGCACAGGTTTGGCATGTATTTGGCAAAGGTTTTGGCACAGGTTCGTCACAGGTCCCCTGCGCAGGTGTGGCAGGATGCCAATGGTTAGCTGAGAGGACTGTTGCATGTATGGAGAATCGTGGAGATGTGAGGAGTTAAAAATTGTCTCAACGGTCTCAAAGCAACTTGTCTCAATTGTTTCAAACTTTACAGCAATTTGTATCAATGAGTCTCAAATTAGCGACTCCAAGATTGCGCAGGCAAACTTCTGCAGAACCTTCTGCGCAGAGGCGACTCTCTTCTTCCCTTTTTTTCTAACAAGGTAAACAGATGCCTACCCATGCCCATAAGCGAAGTAGAAAATATAAACGAATAAAAGTCGAAACAAAAGGCTAAACAGGGTGAGAAAGAATACAAAGATGGATGTATCATCAGCAAAATTACACACCCCTCTGTTTCATGCCCACGGACACATGCGCGACAGACAGACAGAGACACAGACATACAACGATGATCAATACATGAGAAGTAAAATGGATGTATCATCAACACAATTATACATACCTCTGTTTGACGCGCGACAGGCGGACAAGCAGACAGGCTGACGACCGACGGACCGACGGATCGGGTGATGGCCAACAGACCAAACAACGGACCGAGTGAACCCCTGCCAGCCCCCCCGAACGCCTACCTTCCCGTCCGCTCGCCCGCCCGCCCAACCAACCAGCCGACCTTACCGACGTTTCCACTTCAGACCTTCCAACCCAGAGGCACACACACACACACACACACACACACACACACACACACACACACACACA